CTCCTTCCCTTCTTTCTTCCTTTCCCTCCCTCCTTCCCTCTCTTCCACCCCTCTCTTCATTCCCCTCCTGTCTTTCTCCCTTATTTCTTTCCTTTGTAAAACACCAGACATTTGTTTTTTTCCAACTTTGGAGCCAGAAGTTCAAAATCATGGCCCCATTCCTTTTTATTAGAGAAAATATCTTTCCCAGAAGCCCCCAGAGAGCTTTTCCTTACGGCTGATAGGCCAACACCATGTCACATGCCCCACTGATCCATCAGTGGCTAGATGGCAGAAATACCATGATGGATTCAATCAACATTCACCTCTCAGGGAATTGCGAGGGGATTGCCCTCCCTGAACACATGGTCCCCTCTAAATCGGCCTCCATTAATGTGGAAGCAGGTGAGTGCGTACAGTTGTTGGATAAGCAACGGCAATATCTGCTACAGTGTTTAAGAGCAGACATTTTCATCTGAATTACACCAATATTGATAAATTTCCATTGAGAAAAATATTTTCTGAACTCAACTTTGTTAAGCTAATTTATTTTTTAAAATTTTGACACAGCTTATATCATTTACTTTCATTTTCGTTTTACTTAAATTCTTTTCATGGGTACAAATTCTTTTCCATATAATTTTTATACCACAGCTTTATTTCATTGACCATTTCACAAGTTCTTACTAAATTTTGTTGATTATACTTGTAGGTTTGGACATTGATAATTTTCTTTTGAGAATGTTACGTGTGGATCAAGAACTTTTATTTTATATTGACCATTTCTATCAGAATCTTCATCAGCAGTTGGATGAGACTATATGTATTTCTCTGTTCATCCTGATAAAATGTGAGCAATTCCTCTTAGGGGTGCAAAAATCGATCTGTTCAGATTGTTGGATTTGCAGAGGTCAGCAAATGAGAACCTCACAGGTCAGATCTGGGCTGATGCCTGTTTTCCCAGGCTTTTCTCTCATAGGTGAATATTTGTAATTTGTTTGATGATAGGGATTGTGAACTTTGAGCTCCAATTAAGAAAAATGGTACCCGCTTCCCCCTAAATAATTTCTTTTGTCATTAATAGGCCTGTATTATAAAAGTTGCACTCAATTACTATTATTTTGAATTTTGTCAGTAAAAGTTTTGTGGAATTTGTTTTCTCTCATTATATAAATATCACATACTATTCTTTTTTAAAATTTATTATTTTCTAAAAATATCTTTATTGATTTCAGAGAGGAAAGGAGAGAGAGAGAGAGAGAGAGAGAAACATCAGTAATGAGAGAGAGCCATTGATTGGCTGCCTCCTGCACACCCCACATTGGTGATGGAGCCTGCAACCAGAGCATATGCCCTGACTAGAAATCAAACCCTGACCTCCTGGTTCATAGGTCAATGCTCAACCACTGAGCCATGCCGGCTGGGCATTACATACTATTCTTGATTTTTGCTTCTTGGCCTCAAAATTCTAAAATATTTACTGTCTGGCCCTTTACAGAAAAGGTTTGCCGACTCTTGCTCTTCTGTTTGCTAACCTGATTCCTCTGCACACTCACACTCTCCCTACCTTTTCCCTCACTTTCTGTTCTGAGGAAGTTAAAAGGAGAAAATGGTGAGTGAGGTCAGTATGTTCTTAGGGTCAAAACTGTTGAGGAAAATGTCCAGCTTCATTTGGGAAAAAAGCAAGTTGGATGAACGCAGTCCTATTCAGCTATGAAGAGCGAACTCTTCAAACTGTTACATATTGTGTCAAATAAAAATACAAATCGGTGTGAGAGTTTCCTGTAAAAATCAACCCCCCCCCTTTTTTAAATTAAGGTATAATAAGTCTGAATTGTTGAAAAAGCCAACATATCATTGCTTTCAGAGCATCAACACTTGAGGGAGACAATGTTTTGAGAGCTGAGCGACCTTTTACTTTTTCCTACTGAAGTTAGCTCCTTTTTCTTTCCTTTAACAGATGAGGAAAAAGAAAATAATAGAGCATCCAAGCCCCACTCCACGCCTGCTACTCTGCAATGGTAAGTTCCTTTTTTAGTAAGTTCTCTCTTGATGGGATGCTCATGTAACTCTATCTTCATACTGCTTGGTGGGCACATGGCTTGGCTGTTTTGACATTGTCATGATAATGTGACATCTAATAGCCCATCTGCAACCTCTTGAATTTGCAGGGATGTGTAAAATGCTCAAGCTGGATCTAGGCTGGAGATTTGAATTTTGATATTTTATTTTGAGGTAGATTCCACCCCTTTCCCCCCCATCATCAAAACACTGGCAAGGACTAAATTCCACATGGATGCTATTAATTGATTTTAATGGAATCCATACTTCAGTTAATAATGTTGCAGCAGACTATATAGAAACATAGGTCTAGTCACCCCGTCAATCAGCCTTAATGAATTAACAATTACTTGCAACTACAAAGCAGTTATGTTAGCATTAATAAGAATTATCTACTAGAGTGGCTTTCTCTTTAGTATTTGGAATTTCTGGGCTTGATGTAATATTTAGTGATGGTGTTTAAGTGGTTGCACTCATGTTTGGAAGAAAAGCAGAGAAACATCAGGAAGATGGAGGAGAGAGCCAGAAAGCAGATGGGCATTAATGAGCAAATTGTATTAGATTCTCTAGTCTAATCCAGCCACAGGTGAGGGGGAAACAGCACTGGGAGAGAGCATTCAGGAACGTAACTCAATCTTCTCTAAGGAGAGTCTCAGTAGTCACCTTGCTTTGCTCCAAGGCTAGCCAAGGTTGTTTTCCAGCCTCTGTCTGGTTCCCATCAATGTGTCCCTATATTCTTTTTCTCGTTTCACTTGCTGCGTTTTTGCTTTATTTAAAATTCTATTCTTCCTTTTTGGTCAAATCATCCCTTTCCTCTTCCCCCTGGATGATGGTCACACAAATTCCCATAATGTCAGGACAGCAAATGAGGCATCAACATAAAAGACTTTGGGGGTGAGAGATTCTAGAAATGCAAGGAATCGACACTCTTGCTTTAACCCTACCAGACCGCTGTACCGGTTTTTCGGTAATTTCCGAATCTGCCGCTATACCGTTGTACCTAATTTTCGGTACTTTGCCTAGACCTATTTTCTACAATGTCTCCAAGTTCCATCTTATTCTAACCACTTGTTTGCATGTAACTAACATTTTTCTATATCATGTTGGTTTTTTCTCTTTAATGCCCAGGAGCCCAGGTATAGGGGACAGTTAGGTTCAGGGCCTCAGGTCTGGTAGGGTTAATAACTGGGACATGTTGCACATTTTAGAATAAAAGATTTGAAAGGGACTATAAGGAAATCACCTTGTTTGTGTCTGTTGCCTGTGATTCTCTGACATCTGCCTAGCGACAGCGAGGCTGTGGAAAGTGCGGCCTCTTAAGTCAGACTGCCAGGAATGAACTCACAGCTCTGCTTCTTTCCAGCGGTGGAACCTTGGGCAAGTTCCTTAACCTCTCTGTGCCTCAGTCTACTCCCCTGTGAAATGGGGACAGCAGGGACAGCAGTGGTATCTACCTCATAGGGCAGTCATGAAGAGGAAGTGAGTTAGTACAATAATGTGCCAACAGCACATGGTAGGGTGAGTGCTTGGTAAATCTCAGCCACCGTCAGTGGCTAGCCACGCCCCTTCCTCTGAGTCCCACAAGGACGTCCTGGAACAGCGCTTCTCTCTTCCCTGACATGCGCACAGTCCGTTCTCTTTCTCCTGTGCCTAATTCTATACAAAATCTCTGTTTTTCTAAATAAAGGGACACATAGATCATCCCAAAAGAAATTTCATCCTCCAATTCACAAAGTTAGGCAGTGGATTATTTTAATGATATATTGGCTTTCAAGGGCAAATCAGATTTGAAAACATATAAACTTTAGTCTTATTATTATAAACTAGTGACCCGGCGTGTGAAATTGCGTGGCCCCCGCTCACCCACCACCCCGCCTTGACACCCTAACCTCTCCACCCAAAGCTCAAGAGCGCCTGGCCCCACCCCCGACCCCTCTGGCCTTCTCTGGCCACTTCAAGCCCCGCCCTTTGTCCCCGTGAGTCACCTTGGGCTGGTCCCACCTCCTCTGCCCTGTCATGGCGCCGGAGGAGAGCGTGGATGCCTCCCGCCTGCTGCAGAGTTTTGAGCGCTGCTTCCTGGCGCTGCATGTGCTGCACTCCTTCCCCTGGCAGGTGGGCAGCAGGCGTGCTGAGTGCGAGCAGTGGGTGGCGAAGGACTGGTGAGGGGGGCACTATGGGCTCTCACCCCCGCTCTCCCTGCCACCGGATGGTCCTGCCTCCTCAGGATGCCTCCCCACTTCCACCCCGTCTCCAGAGCAACGCGGTGGCTCTGCCCCACTGCGCATGCACACGCAGCCTCCTGCTGATCGGTTGTTACAATGTGAGGGTGTCACTACCATTAGCATATTAGCTCTTCATTATATAGGATAAAATATATAAACTTTCTTATTAGCCAAAGGCATCAAGTTATTCAGACCTTAAATTTTCCTTTAATTCCTATTATATTGTATTGTATTATATTGTATTATACTATACTAGAGGCCCGGTGCATGATTTTTTTTCTCCCTCAGCCTGGCCTGCACCCTCTCACAGTCCAGGAGCCCTCTGGGGGAGCGGGCCTAAGCCTTCAGTCGGACATCCTTAGTGCTCCCAGCTTCTGGCTGAGCCCAGCTTCTGGCTGAGCCCGGCTTCTGGATGAGCAGCACTCCCCCTATGGGAGTGCACTGACCGCCAGGGGGCAGCTCCTGCATTGAGTGTCTGGCCCCTGGTGGTCAGTGCACATCATAGCGACCAGTTGTTCTGCCGTTCTGTCAATTTGCATATTAGCCTTTTATTATATAGGATTTTTAAGATAGAATGTCAGTTACTAACTAATTCAAGAAATGTTTACTGAGCACCTACTATTTCCTAGGCTGTTCTTGGGACAGCACTGGTGGATAAAGTGGACTAAGAATAGGGGCTGCTGACGCTCAGCAATCCCACAGGGAGTTCTGAAGCTGGGATGGCACTTCAGAGAGGACTGGAATGGAGGCCATGGGTCTGGTCCTATAGTCCCTACCTTGCCCATCTCTGGAAGTGGGCTGCCCCTAAGGAGGGGCTGTAACTGAGTGAGGCAGTTCCCTTCACCTCCCAACAGCGGGAAGGGCGCCTCAGCTCTGAAGAGTAAGCTGGGCACACGCCAGGGCATCTGCTCTGCCCTCCACATTGGGAGCAGGCTAAGCTTGTCCAAGGAACTGCAGAAGGCGGCCTGTGTGGTTGGAGCATAGTGAGCAAGGAGGGGGTGACACAGCTGAGGTGGCAGAGGGAGGCGAGGGGAGGGTCTGTAAACAGTAGGGAAGAAAAAGTAAGCCATTTCTTTAAACTTAAATAGGAACAATCATGCTTAAAAGTGTGGCGGAGGACATGTGACCTCATATAAAATTCCACATGAGTAACTATTTTTAAGACACAGTTTCAGTATAAAAACTGTCTCAAAGGGAACTGGTTGCACCCCCCACTTTATAAGGAAATGTGACATAATTTATAATATGTCCCCTTTTTGCTCTGACCGCCAGAGAGTTCAGAGCAAAATCTGATGCTTATGTATTTTTCAATCTCCTTTGTATGATTTTCTTCTTCTTTTTAAAAATGTTATAACTTTTTATTAAAAAGGCAAGATACAAATACATTGAGTACATACTTTTATTTTCCGTACACAGTAATACATTTCCTTATTTAAAAAGAAAAGCATTACAGATAAGGCGGAATTCTTCTCTTCATGTAATTCCTTGCTTCCTTCTTCAGGGCAACCCCGTTACCGGTGAGAAATTCCCACGTGTACATACGTACGTATATGTGCGGTCTTTGCCTGTGCATTTACATGCACTTGTACTGATCAAAGTTTCTGAACTGTGATTTTTTTATTTAGTATTTTCTTCTTTTTAAGACATATAACACTAAAACAACAAAAAATAAAAAACAAACAAAAAATAAGACATAACACTAAAAATGCTGTCACACAACCGGGCACACTCTATTGGCCCACACTCTCCTCCTCAGGGCAAGGTCCGGGAGCTCTGCCCACGCTAGTCCATGAGGAACAACCTCGCTGTGACTGCTGCTCAGGACCCCCTGCCCCCAAAGGCAGCCCAGCATTTACTTCCCCCTTTCCCTCTTGGTGGACACTTTGGTTGTGTCCAGATCTCATCTTCGCCATTACAAATAGGGCCCCAGAGCATGTCCATGTGTCCCCCGTGCACACCTGCGGCGGTGTTTCTCCTGTGCGGGAATCAAGAGGTGGAAGAACCTGGTGTCCAGGAAATGGTCAGGGTTGGCACACTTGCCCTCTCGATGGCTTTGCCATTTTATATCTTCACTTGCAGAATAAAGTGCTTTTCGTGAAAACGGGAACCAGGCTCCACAGCGTGGCCTCTCATTCTCTGAGGCGTTTTCATCCTTCACGGTGTCCCCTCTCTCCAGTGGCCGTGGGCAGCCCGGCAGGACGCTGAGGAAACAGAGGCCTCACCGCCATGGTGGCTGCCACCCACCCGACAGTGCCACGCTCTCCTGGGACGTTTGGCTTGTTTTGGGGATTGGATGGGAGCTATTTGCCTCGCCACCTTCTCCCTATCTTGTCATGAGCCTCTTCCCATCTCCTTAGACTCCATCCCCACTCTAAGGACAAATAACCCAGCAGCCAAGCAGCCTGGAATCCTCGAGGCCACGTGATCGGGAGGCAGCTCCCAGCAGAAAACAGACAAATATTGTCCAATGCCTCCTGCCGCACACTTTCCAGCATCCTCGGTCACGAGGGTGAGTAAAGCCTCGCTCGCTGGGGAGGCAGCCCTGCTGGAGTCCTGGCCGCACAATAACCTCTATTCACAGGAGGATTTGGGAAGGGAAAGCAGCCTGTCCCACCATCCTGGCCTCCTGGCTGCCAGCACAAGTCCTCTCCCAGCCCCGCCCTCTCACACCTCCCAGCTCCTTGTCACTTTCTGGTGAATCTACTTTCCCTTTCGGGAGTTTTCAGAGGAAGTCAGGC